CATATATAGACAGATATTGTTGTATAATGTTCTAACATATATAGACAGATATTGTTGTATAATGTTCTAACATATATAGACAGATATTGTTGTATAATGTTCTAACATATATAGACAGGTATTGTTGTATAATGTTCTAACATGTATAGACAGGTATTGTTGTATAATGTTCTAATATATAGACATATATTGTTGTATAAGGTTCTAACATATATAGACAGGTATTGTTGTATAATCTTCTAACATATATATACAGATATCGTTGTATAATGTTATAACATATAGACAGATATTGTTGTATAATATTCTAACATATATAGACAGATATTGTTGTATAATGTTGTAACATATATAGACAGATATCGTTGTATAATGTTCTAACATATGGGAACATTATACAACAATATCTGTCTATATATGTTAGAACATTATACAACAATATCTGTCTATACATGTTAGAACATTATACAACAATACCTGTCTATATATGTTAGAACATTATACAATAATATCTGTCTATATATGTTAGAACATTATACAACAATATATGTCTATATATGTTACAACATTATACAACAATATCTGTCTATATATGTTAGAATATTATACAACAATATCTGTCTATATATGTTAGAATATTATACAACAATACATGTCTATATGTTACAACATTATACAACAATATCTGTCTATATGTTATAACATTTTACAACAACATCTGTCTATATATGTTAGAACATTATACAACGATATCTGTCTAACATATAGACAGATATAGTTGTAATAATGTTCTAACATATATAGACAGATATTGTTGTATAATGTTCTAACATATACAATACCTGTCTATTGTATAATGTTCTAACATATATAGACAGTATATTGTTGTATAATGTTCTAACATATATAGACAGGTATTGTTGTATAATGTTCTAACATGTATAGACAGGTATTATTGTATAATGTTCTAACATGTATAGACAGATATTGTTGTATAATGTTCTAACATGTATAGACAGATATTGTTGTATAATGTTCTAACATGTATAGACAGGTATTGTTGTATAATGTTCTAATATATATAGACAGGTATTGTTGTATAATGTTCTAACATATATAGACAGGTATTGTTGTATAAGGTTATAAAATATAGGCAAATATTGTTTTATAATACTCTGTAGGTTTAAATGTTGCCCGTGTACACGAATGAGGGGTACATTTGCCAAGTGAACCCACAGTGGGAGCCTATGTGGAGTGGTTTTTTTTACTTGATCACATGGTGTCCGACGAGTTCCTCAGATATATAAAATCTTTATTACATATAAACGGGTTACTCTGGGTTATACTCTCTTAAGTGGTAATCGTTTGTAGAATATTTAAATTCTAGTAAAAGATTTAGGTGTGGAGAGCTGTTCAATCCACCAAATGCTGTCTTGCAATCACGTTCCAGTTTCTTCGATGATTGTGTTAACGTCTAAAGACGGCTGATTGTAACCGAAAGCAATTCAGGGTAAGAAAAATCGCGTGCCTAGTTCCCACTCAATAGTTTGTAGGTACAATTGACAATTATTCTAGTCAGAATGTTATACATTTTAACTCTGTTACTGAGTAAACCGAGCGGGCTAAAAATAAGTGTCTCTATGTGAAACGTAGACTATAAAGCTAGTAGGACAATGAAGAAAGGAAACAGAGACACGATGATCATGCGCAGGAGGTTAGGTGACGTATATGTGATAAGCTTTGGGATTCTTGTACAGAGAATTAAAGGCAGTTCGATCTTGTATCCTTGCGTTGTGTGGTATTAGTATAACATTATGTTGTGAGGGGCTGGGCTAGCCAGACTGGGAATCTGAAGGTACATGGTTTGTGTCTCGTTGCTGCAGAATCGTTCTCCAAACTTTGGGGTCGTGGGTATGTTGAAGGAACGACTGTTCAATCTTACTATTCGATTAGAGTAGCCCAAGAGTTGTCAGTGGGTAGTTATCTAGATGCCTTCCTTCTAGTCTATCAGTTCAAAATTAGGAACGGTTAGTGCAGATAGCCCTCGTGTAGCTTTGTGCAAAATTCTGAAACAAAAACAACAAAAAACAAACAAAAACAGATGCCAAAAATAAACAAAATTTGTCTTATTTAGTCCTTTTTTTTGCCAATGATGTCATTAAATATCATTTAGTTCAGACTTTAGTTATTGCAATTTTAATCATATGTTGTGATCGTAGTTTATATACATATATATTGTTGTATTGTATTCTTTCGTTGTTTGGATAATTTTAAATCATTTGGTGAAAATAATGCAAAGTACAGTCCACCTAACAACAACGAATTAATTTATTTCTTCATTAACTTTTGCTAAAGGCTACGTTTAATTTGATGCAAGTTTAGGCCTCAGTTCACAAACAAACTTTTCAACTTAAACTCTGAAACTATTGTAGGCTTAATACATCAATAACATTTAAGAGAAAGTTACTCGATTGGTAATAAATATAACTTACTGATTAAATTTACTCTTTCAACAACTACTTAATCTTTCATACATTGAATACTTCACTGACTTCTTATCAACGCTTCGGTGGTTACTGTATTTATACAGTTTACTCACGTCTTGGTATTATTCAAAATTATTAGATTTCTGACATCATCATCATCATCATGAACTTCTAGGATTACTTTGATGAATTTACTTGATCTTAACATCGTTGAAAATATGGCTTACAACAATACATATATATATAAGTTTTAGGTACTTATAACTGAAACGTTACTTGATGACTAATTTAGAAATAAACTTAAGTGTTTTACGAATGAAAATATTAAAAGTTGTTTTGGTTTTACAGAAAACTACTGAATTCAGTTGTAGATGCCGGGCCCAGTCAGGAAGTAGTTTCATTTTTTATGTGGCTTTGTTACGCTTAATTAAAATGAATATTTTAAGCATTAAAATACCAATTAATTAGCTTTATTTATCTTCCTACCTTTCGGCAAACTACAACTTGCCAAGTGTAAGAATTCTATATAGGCACATCATGTTTTTTTTTTTTTCTAATGAAAATTTATTTATTAATGGGTTATTTTGTTATATTTATCTTTATATTTTGTCATTTAATTCTCAAAGTTTTTCTTGCCCATTTATTTTCTCTTTTTCTGTTGCTTCTTACTTGTTGTTCTTTTTCTTGTATGATGGTTTTTCATGTGTACTTCAGCATTTGTTTGTTTTATTCTCTCAGTAAACAATAATCTTGGCGTTCGTAACAAGAGAGGACTGAACAACTTCTTTAATTATTCATATTTAGCATTTCACCACTGAACTTTCGTAGACGTAAACACGTTGCATTACTTTGAGGTTTAATCATTTTCCATTATAATAAAAACTTAACACACAGTGGACACAGAAGTGGTTGAGAGCGGGAAGAAGCACAGACACTTCAGGTTTTCTGCCAACTAAATGTCTGTTCTCAGTCTTCTGTAATTGAAAGTTATTTTCTCTTGTGAACATCATTATTATTTTTTTTCTTTCTAGGTGTATGCACGTCTCTGATATTGGGCTGGGTTATCTGTCTACGATGGCTAACTTGTGCGCCCTCTATCTTCGGTGGTGTTCACAGATTCGAGACTTCGGAATTCAACATCTTTGTAGTATGCGTCATTTACAAATACTGTCTCTTGCAGGTACAGATAATGTTAAACTTTTCATGTCTAAAACTGAATAATCAATAAAAAAAAATAATTAGTAAAGCACTGGCGTCATTACTTGTAGGATTTGAAGCTCTAACTTGAGAAATAACAACTTTCGTCAAATGTTAAAAGAACTAAGTTATTTCATTTATTAATAATTTGCTAATTTATTAATAAACTACATTTAGTTTTTAAACTGATACTAAAACTTGTTGCAAGTGATTTTAAGCATGGTGAAAATGAACAAAAAATAATCCAAGAAAAAGCAACCAATTTTATTAATCTCACCTGATGGTGAAACCTGGTAGTTTACTATATATATATATATATATGCATATGTGTTCATTTGTTATGTAAAATCTGTAAGCCAACTAAAAAAACATTTAATTTATATTACAGGATGTCCTCTGATAACTTCTGTCGGATTATCTTCAGTTGTGCAACTGCGCCATCTTCAGGAACTCGAGCTAACAAACTGTCCAGGTACTTCTGCGGAACTATTCGATTACCTGCGTGAAAACCTTCCAAATTGTATGATCATAGAATGATGATCACATTTATATACATATATATTAGGAAATAATGGTAAAGTGTTGTAGAAATATTACATTTTTCTTAGAGTAGTCATTATAAGTTTTTATTATGTCATAATATATGGCAACTAAGAACTAGTGTCAGCAATTGGAAGATAATATTTTATAATTTCATAGAGCTGAATTTTTCTTTATTCAGTTATTGTCATAAACCATAATGCTGAACTTGAAAAATAACGTTAAATATTTTTTTCTTATAAAAATGATCTAGTTTGATGATAATAGTCACATTATATTTTATCTCTGTAATTTAATAGTTCAAACAGGCTGAAAGTATGCACTATAATGTAGGTTTCTAGATATTAAGATGGTACAAAGCTGTGTGTAATTCAGTCAAAACTGGGCCTATATCTACTTTTGAAGCATTGCAGTTTTTATGATGTCAATATAATAACCACATAAATATGGTTTTTCTTTCACGGTAAAACTTGAAAGAACAGAAATACTGATCACAGGAAGATTCAGTCATTTCTTACCGTCATCACAGTGGCTCACATCAAATATTACAATTGTACCGGCAACTTACACCTACTGCTATTATTTCAAAAATAAAATAGCAGTGAACTAAAAATAGAAACTACGTGTTGTTAGTTGACAATAACAGCACAGTGAAAGTTGAAACCTTACATTAGCTGACGACTACAGATAAACTACACTAACACTTTAGTAGAGTTACAAATTAGCAAGTCTCGAAAAAGCTAATTATTTAATTTAGTGCAGCAACAAAATATTTTAATATCTTGAAGTTTCATGTAATTGAATTCATAGTGGTACTTCTCAGGCCACAGTTGAAGTGATATTTCTAATAGACAATCTTTAATCAGTGTATCATCGTTTCTTTTTTATAAATGTTTAACTGTTAGCTCAACAATTTAGACAACCATTGTAATTTGTAGTTAAGATCTAAGTTGAATATCATGATTTCCTGTGTTATCAAATAATATCTATAGGTGTGTGCAATTATCTTTAAAAAATAAAATTTTAATTAGTTGACATTATAATAAAAAGAACAGAAGATAGTCAAATAAACAGACTTATTTAGTATCATATTGGATGAATTAGAATATATGTTTTAGGGCCTAAAATAATTTGACTCGTAGACTTAATGTTATTACAATCAGTGGGACTGTTTGTCAATGCTTTATTTCTCAAAATGATTGTTATATTAACATCTCTTGTGTTATCTTAACTCTTTGTTAACACTAATGTATGAAGATAACCTTCCATAGCCTTGTCAACTCTGTGTTATTGTTCATCTTAGTTAATCAACACTGATATAAAGATGACCAGGTAGCTGATATAGTTAATGCTATGGAGATAGCTCAGTCAGTAATTTGTTTAATACTGGTGTATGGAAAGAACTAATTTATCTGTGTGATAAGTTTTTTCTCTTGGGGGGGGGGGGGGGTTAATACATAGGTTTGTCATCAAACTGATTTATTTAACTATCTGTACTTCACTTTTAACACAAATAATAATACCTCCAAAATTTGATTCTACTGAACAAACGGTTCTGCTAGTACTCTGGTTGTTGTGATGACCATTGTTATCACATGGCCGTAAGATGTATGTGAATGTGTTATTTATTCTGTAGTTTTACACGTATAACCCAATAATTTTTGGAGATTTTTCCGATATGTTCTCTTTAAATTTGTTTATAGCCATAGAAGTAACTTATTACTCATCCCTGTTTATTTGTTTATAGCCATAGAAGTAACTTATTACTCATCCCTGTTTATTTGTTTATAGCCATAGAAGTAACTTATTACTCATCCCTGTTTATTTGTTTATAGCCATAGAAGTAACTTATTACTCATCCCTGTTTATTTGTTTATAGCCATAGAAGTAACTTATTACTCATCCCTGTTTATTTGTTTATAGCCATAGAAGTAACTTATTACTCATCCCTGTTTATGAATAAGTAAGATATTTTTTTATGCTACATTGGTTCTACTCAAAGAAAACTGTTAATTAGAATCATAGAACATGCTGACCATTGAGTCAAATGTACTTGAACATGCCATAAGTAAATGTGACGTGATTGTTCCTTCCAGTTGGTTTAAGATTTTAGCAAGGACCAATAATGAACAGACTCCAGCCAAAAGAGAGCTTGCTCATTGACAAGCTGAAACTTGAGATAAACATTGTTGGATCCACTAAAAAAAGTTTCTCGTGTTGCCAGAAAAATGTAGTCATTTGATAAATGCTTTAAGAGTTCTATTTGCATAATTTATAACAATATATGTACATTGAAATCGGGAAACCACATTATAATTGTGATTAAACATCAATAACCATTAAGTTTCTACTTTTTCTGTTGTTTAAGTAAATTATTATTTTTTGTAAATATCAATTATAATGATATTTCTATCTTTTTTTTTCAGTGGTTATCATGTTGAACATATCGTTAAGTATGATTGGAAACAAATACTTTGTTAGTAAAGATATAATTTTCCAGTACACACGTTTCACGTACAGTCATGTGTATCCAGGTATTCATTCTTAACATGGGTGCCCACAGGAAGGGGCAAGAGGGGACAAAAAATTGCAAGTATTATGATGTAAACTTAACATTGTAATTAAACTAAATATTTTTAGTCATTTATATATTGAAACTGTAAATTTGTATTTGTGTTTAAGCACACATGTTCTTTTAGTCCATTGACTTGCACTGAAAAAGCCGATCCCCTACATATATTTCACCCCCACCCCTGAAAATATTTCAGTGGGTGCCCATGATTCTTAACAAATATTATAGGTGTATTCTCAAACTTTATTATCAAGACAACAAATATATACACACACTGGAATGTGACAGTATATTAAGCCAAACAATAAAATACATACATAAAAAACATCTCGGGGAATGTTCTAAACATTTCTTTTATGGACTTCCTCCTTGTGTAGTTTTGATTAACTGAAAATGTTGTTTCCCAGCACAGCACAAGTTTTATTTTATTTTTCATAGATATTTAAACAAGTAGTAAACTACAGGGTATTAGTGGGGACCCCACTTATTAAGTTATAAATCTGTAGTATCTTCTAAATTTATTGTACCATTTTTACTGTCAAACATTTCTTTTTTTTGTCTCCAGTGAAAAAGAATAGTGTGATACATACATCTGTGTGTTTATATAATACCCACAATAACGTGTATCTCAAAATAAAAGTGTTGGTGAAATGGTTTTGATTTCATCCCATTTTTTTGTATTGGTTTAAGCATGGAACCTTGAAATACCTATTTTTTACAAATGTAATACTTATATGTATCTTTATTGATTTGTGAGAAGAATATTTGAAAAGCAAAAGCTGATGATGATAAATCTTTTACCAAAGATGTTTTTTCGATTAGAATCAAGAATGTTCTTTATATATACAGAATTCAGTTCTATTAGATGAGTGAATAATGAAGCAAAAATATTAACCAGTGTGTTGTTTTTATATCTAGTTACAGAAACATCAGCTATGTGTATGCAAGCTTTTACAAATTTATTCGCCACATTCTAAGCTCAAACAGAAAAAATTTAAAGGTAGAATTTACTTCTATCTTCAAATTCCAGTAACTTTAGAACTAATTCACGAAATCATTTTACTGAATGAAGAGAGTTAACATCATTCATTTTTAAATTCAAACCTTGGAGGTTTGTCTGCTTCCTGCTTAATTGTCATTTTCTCTTTAAGCATATAAAAAAACAAACATCTTAACCCTGTCTTATTCTAGTCAGCCTGTACATGTTGGATCTTGGAATATATCACCGTTTTTAATTAATTAATAGCATTAGCATGGAAATGGAGACAGGAAGCAAGTTTGAACAGAACTTTAAACAACTACTTTATCACAAGTTTAAGAATATCAAGTTTGATGTTTCTTTACAAACAGATGAGTTAAATCATGTGTTAAAGATTTGATGTAAGTAAACGTTATATACGCAAGGTGAAAGACATCGTTTGCACACCATGATATAGCTGATAGTGCTACAGTGAAAGATTTGAGTGCTTATTTCTTTACTGATCTTTAGGGACGGCTTCAAATGATATGCGTGACATAACATTATTGGTAAAGCACGTGCAGAAAAAATGAAACCACAGCTTTCACTGATGTAACTGTTGACGTATTTTATTCATCTTAGTTTCTAAGTATATTAGATTCCTGTGGTGATTTTACTTAAAAAGATCTTGAACGTAGAATCAAAATAATGTGTAGAGCAATTTGAACACGAGGTAAAGTCTGCCAATGAGAAGCCCGGTAGTTTTCAAGTTATCTTTTCAATATGCTTCAGCGGGTGTTAAGAGATTCAGGATATCAATGCTTCGTCTGTGTGATGTTGAAAAGCGATTATCCAAGATAAAGTCACTCAAATGTGTAATAATACACTGTATTAGACAGGATTTCATGTATTAGAAAATGTGTAACATAACCAATAAAAATATGTGAAGTGCAATATGTAACCTATATACTCTTGTACACTAGAAATTGTTACTATTTCATGATAATATACGATTACAGTTATCAAAATACGTTGTTTGCCAGCATTCTATCTGTTGTTAATATACTGTATATGCTAGTAAATATATATATGGTTTGTAAATATGAGTACATAAAAACATTATGTAGCATGTTGTGTGAAAAATGAAATTAAACCATGAAAAAAAATTGTAAAGTCTTAGCTTAGTTTTATTGATGATTTAAATTCTAAAGAACTTCTGATCTCCAAGTTTCCACATACAGTAGGATGTCGAAATATCTAGCAATTGGAAAAAAATTTGGTCAATTTAAAAATTATCTTAAAACCTAGAAGGTGCCCGGCATGGCCAGGTGGTTAGGGCGCTCGACTCGCAATCAGAGGGTTGCGGGTTCGAATCCCAGCCCCACCAAA